ATAGGGGCATAATGTGTGTCTGTTATTGACCACACGGAGAGTTGCAGAAATTATTATTATTTTTTTTATTATCCAAACAGTTGGTCGCACTGGTGCAACCAAATTTTTTTTTTTAGTCGCACCACTGAAAGCTTTGGTCACATTTGCGACCAAATCGGTCACACTCTAGAGCCCTGGGGGGTTATATGATTGTAGGGCTTTTCTGTGTATCTACTGTACAACATAAAGCGCCTTGAGGTGACTTTTGTTGTGATTTGGCGCTATATAAATAAAATTGAATTGAATTGTTTGTTTACCACCACTGTGGTTAGCCGCCACCATTTTACCCGTCTGTATCTGGAAGTCCCACAAGATCTTAGCTCGGTCATTCTCCTCCACCCTACGGGGCGTCTCCCATTTTGACCTTGGGACTTCCAGGTTATACTCTGCACAGATTTATCTGTATACCATGCTGGCCACTTGGTTATGGCGTTCCATGTATGCCTTGCCTGCTAGCATCTTACACCTTGCAGATATGGGCTGGATTGTCTCAGGGTCATCTTTACGCAGCCTGCACCTGGGATCTTGTCTGGAGTGATAGACCCCGGCCTCAATGAATCTTGTGCTCAGGGCTTGTTCCTTTTCTGCCATGATTAGTGCCTCTGTGCTGTCTTTCAGTCCGGCTTTGTCCAGCCACTGGTAGGATTTCTGGATATCAGCCACCTCCGCTATCTGCCAGTGGTATATGCCATGTAGCGGCCTCTCCTTCCATGATGGTGCCTCCTCTTCCTCCTCATTCTTGGGTTTCTGCTGCCTGAGGTATTCACTGAGCACGCAATCAGTTGGGGCCATCTTACTGATGTATTCATGGATGTTTGTTTTCTCCTGGACCATGGTGCTGACACTCACCAATCTCCAGCCTCCTTCCTTCCACTTAGCGTACAGCCTCAGGGTGTTGGACTTGGGGTGAAACTCTCCATGCATGGTCAGGAGACCCCAGCAGGATACCTGATCACGGGCAGGGCTGATAGCCCACATCTTATTCTTACCATTCAGCTGACTCCTCATGACTTGCCTGACCCTCTGCAGGTACTTGGTGGTTGCAGCTTTTCTAGCGACCTCTTCATGGTTCCAATTTGTGGCAAATGGGAACCATCATTTTCCATCATTTTCAACTAATTTAATAGTCGACAAGTCGTTTAAAGTTTTGTAAGATCCCAAAGGAGTATAATAACTGAGGGGTGACTGTGATGGCAGGGGGATATGTTTGCATGTGGGGCTGTGCACACGTCATCACAGATAATCTGCCTTAAAGGCGTGAATAAAGGTTTCCTCAGCCAGGACACGCGAGGACATGATATCCCATACCACGTGTGTTGTACCGAGTGTATTGCCTGAAAAGGAACTACTTCAACCTTTGGTTTAAAACTAGTGTTAGTGGAGGAAGTTTGAAGGTTGAGTTTGTTCCACGACTGCATTTCACTCACTGCCTCTGTTTGTATCTCTGTCACTGCAGGACCAACATGGAGCGAGAAGTCAGCGCTCTCAGGAGGCCGACAAACCTCACAGAAGAAAGGGAGAAAAACATACAGCTGTGATGAGTGTGGGAATCGATTTTCCTTCTCAAAACTTAAAAACCACCAGCTCATCCACAGTGGAGTTAAAGCATACAGCTGTGAGTTGTGTGGAAAGTCTTTTACCAGGCTGCACTTAAAAACACACCAACTCATCCACAGTGGAGTAAAGCATACAGCTGTGACTTGTGTGGAAAGTCTTTTACCCAGGCTGGAAGCTTAAAAGACACCAACTCATCCACAGTGGAGTTAAACTACAGCTGTGAGATGTGTGGAAAGTCTTTTACCCGGGCTGGAATCTTAAAAAGACACCAACTCATACACAGTGGATTTAAACCATACAGCTGTGAGTTGTGTGGAAAGTCTTTTACCGCTGGAAGCTTAAAAACACACCAACTCATCCACAGTGGAGTTAAAGCATACAGCTGTGAGTTGTGTGGAAAGTCTTTTACCCGCGCTGGAAGCTTAAAATCACACCAACTTGTTCACAGTGGAGTTAAGCCATATAGTTGTGATGAATGTGGAAAGTCTTTTACCCAGGTTGGAAACTTAAAAAAACACCAACTCATCCACAGTGGAGTTAAAGCATACAGCTGTGAGTTGTGTGGAAAGTCTTTTAACCGGGCTGGAAGCTTAAAATCACACCAACTGATCCACAGTGGAATTAAAGCGTACAGCTGTGACTTCTGCGGACAGTCTTTTCACCGTCCTGAAAGCTTAAAAAGACACCAACTCATCCACAGTGGAGTTAAAGCATACAGCTGTGAGTTGTGTGGAAAGTCTTTTACGCAGAGTGCATACTTAAAAACACACCAACTCATCCACAGTGGAGTTAAAGCATACAGCTGTGAGTTGTGCGGAAAGTCTTTTACGTTTTCTGAAAGCTTAAAAAGACACCAACTCATACACAGTGGAGTTAAAGCGTACAGCTGTGAGTTTTGTGGAAAGTCTTTTATGTTTTCTCAAAGCTTAAAAAGACACCAACTCATACACAGTGGAGTTAAAGCATACAGCTGTGAGTTGTGTGAAAAGTCTTTCACCCAGGCAGGAAGCTTAAAAAGACACCAACTCATCCACAGTGCAGTTAAAGCGTACAGCTGCGACATTTGTGGAAAAACCTTCCGATGGCCACTCAGCCGTAATATTCACCTACGCATTCACACAAAAAAGGATTTTTGCTTCTGTGATCAGTGTGGCAAAATTTTTGTGACATACAAAAACTTACAGCGGCACATGTTTACCCACACTGGGAAGAGACCTTATAAATGCGAACTGTGTGAGAAGACTTTTAAATCTCCACGTTACCTCAAATCACACCAAAAGATTCACAGCAGAGAGAAACTCTACAAGTGCAGTTACTGTGAGGTATGTATTTTTCTTTTTACAGTTGTAGTTAGTTTGAAGTATTATGTGAATGAAGTTTAATTTCAAAACTAAATGAGACATGAAAACTTCATGTACAGAATATTCAGTCAAATCTGACACAATTCTCCTGAAACTTTCCCGATGTTGCAAAAATGTAAAGTTTTAAAAGCTCCTCCCCTTCCTATCAATCTAACATTTACACTCCAATAGATGCATCGGAGAGCAGCTTGGGGTTTGTATCTTGTGGCATGCAGAGTAGAGCATCCAGGAGTTTAATCACCAATCTTCCCAATAAGTAGATTACCTACAAATTAAGAGTCATTGTAAGCCAGTAAGTTGAGTGTTATAATGTAAATAGTAAAATGTAATTGGATGCTGGCATAGATGCTCTTTATTTCAGGCGGTGTTCAAGATAAAAATGTTGAAGGAATTGCTTGACCTTCACTGTCTTTTATGTCTTTGTTTAGAAGCAGAGCGACACAGATGGATCCACTTCTCAACCCTGTCGTCACTGTGGTGGTGAGAAGACGTTCAATCAGCAAGCGAGCCTAAAACGACATCAACGCAGACACACTGGAGACAAAATGAACTACTGCAAAGAATGTGGGAGAGGCTTCACCACACCAAGTGAATTAAGACAACATGAACTCTGTCACAGTGACGTCAAAACGCAAGTCTGTGACCAGTGTGGGTCATCCTTCACCACTGCGGATCATCTTGAAGTGCATAAACGAGTCCACGCTGTAAATAAAGAGTTTCATTGTTACCAATGTGCAAAAACATTCACTTCATTATCTGCTCTGTGCAAACATCAGCAGTATCATGCAGAACCGAAATCATTTGATCACAATGAATTTGAAGAGACAGAAAGATCCTCTTCTGGTTTCAGGATCAGACTTAAAAACCTTGAGATCAGGCTCCACAGAGTTCAGATGGAATCTCCTGTAAAAAGTGTCAGCTGATGTCACTCTTGGATCTGATTTCTCAACTTTCTGGGATTTAGAAAGTTCGAAAGATATTCATAAGATCATTAAGGTTTTGTTTTTTTTTTCTTTAGGGAATTTTACAATGATATAGTAGTCAACCGGCCACGTTCCAGGCTACGGGTCGGGCGCCATGGCCGTCGTGGGCGCCCCCCAGACCCCCTTCGCCTGAGTCGCCGCCTCTGCCTTCCGCACAGTCGGCCCCCTGAACTGCCTCCACATCGCCGCCGTTGCTTTCCACACGGCCGGCCTCCGGACTAGCTCTGTCACCTGTGCTACCCACCTGGTCGGCCCCCCGTCCGTTTAACTTGTGGACTTTTGTGCCGGCGACCTCCAGGTCGGCCCCCTGACTTACTACTGAACTGTTCTTTGTGCGCCAGTGTTTTTTCTTGCGTGTTTTGTTTTTGGTCTTCTACTGCTCTTGTTTTGTTTTGCTTCGAGCCCTCCTTCCATGGCCCCCTCCGCCCGCCCTGGTCGGGTTTTTCTGTTTTTGGACCGGTTTGGTTTTCTAGTGTTGGGCTGTCTGGGGCCAGCCCTTGACGGGGGGTACTGTCATGATCCTGGGTCCTTTTGACCCAGCGTCTTGTGTTTTCTATTATTGTGATTTTGGTTCTGTTCTTCCTCTATTTAGTGTTTATTCAGTTCTGCCCATGTATTCCTGTGTTAAGTCCACGTTTCTTAGTCAGTCCCTTGCATGTGTAAGTTCCTGTTTTATTGTGAAAGTCTGTCTTATTTGTGTTCTGTTTACGTTTCCCCTGCCTCGTCAGCTGTGATGTCTTCCAGGTGTGTTCCCCTCCTGTTTCCCATCCTCTGATTCCTGCCGTGTGTATTTATAGTGTGTGTTACCTCGTCTTCGTTGCTGGTTTGTCTGTGTTGTTTCCCCCCGGTCTCCCTCCGTATGTATTTCCCCGGACCTCCCTGCATCTTCGTTTCTGGTTTGTTTTGTTAGTTTTACCCAGTTTAGGTTTTCCAGTTTCATGTTCACCCACCATTGCTGTTTGTACCCACTCCTGAAAATAAATACTCACCTGCACCAGAGCTGCCGCCTTTTGGGTCCTTTGTACAACTACACACGTCTGCCACACCGGACGTGACAATTTTAATAGAGTGAGTTTTATTAAACATGGACATGTCAAGAATTGGGCCCTTTAAAATTGTAGCAGTGCACTTAGAGAAAACCGGTCAGGTGATTATGTGTTGTGTTTTGATGAGCTAATAAAAAGCTCTTTTTTTTCCCCCTCATTTTTTGTAAGCAGGCCTGCAAGATTGAATTAACAGCGCTGAAATTTTTTTCGGGACAGCAAATATAAGGCGACCTTTTCCAGATTACAACTGGCTGAGGAGAAGCCACCTGTGGCAACCTGGGAGTTCCTGTCTAAAAGGATTGCAGCGTGTCAATCCAGACCAAAAAATTATAGACATTTGTTTTTATTTTGAGTGAATGTGTGTGAATTAGTGACTGTGGGTTAGCATGAATAAAAGGGGACAAACAATTGACTAGGTTGGGGAGAGAAAATTATGATCATGTTGTGACTTTCTGGGAGTTTGATTTAGCTATGATAAAATTTATTCATAAGTAATTGCTTGTATGATTAAGCTTAATTGATTAGAATGTTTGTTTTCTCTTTGATCTTTTAGTAAAATAAGCGGTTATAATGATTTTCTTATGATCTATAGTGAAAGAATCTGGCTGGGGCCAGTGTTGAGCAGGTTTAATATGCAGTACTTGCAAGTGGTTTATATGTGCTCTAGCTCCCTTCATATTTTGTCAGCATGGTGACCAATAAAACCGCGTCAGGTGAGCATGCTCCGATAACGTTGGGTAAACAGGTAGAAGGCATCGCTGTTTGAGGGCAGAGAGAAGTTCTAAACAGCCAAGATCGCTGATGGCAAGGACACGCCACATCCAAGATCTGATCTGCCACATATACATCCACTTCTCGCATCAATTCAGACTGACACCAGAGGCAGTGGGAGTCCTCCAAATCGCTGGCTAACGCAGGGGAGCATCAGCAGTAAGTCACGAATATTAAGAATTGTCTGTTGCCCATACACCAACAGTGAGTGGCTCTTTAAAACTTAGCAGGGACACCACTATAAACACAATACATAAATATTTCAGAAACGAGAGATGGCGCCAAGACACTTTACCCTACTTGCCTACTGGTGTTGGCCAGAGGGGCCGATGGCACGATATGGCAGCCTCGCTTCTGTCAGTCTGCCCCAGGGCAGCTGTGGCTACAACTGTAGCTTGTCTCCACCAGTGTATGATTGTGAGAGTGAATGAATAGTGGTATTGTAAAGCGCTTTGGGTGTTCTCGAAAAGCACTATATAAATGCAATCCATTATTATTATTATTATTATTATTATCTTGGAAAGACTACATCTGGCCCCCTTAAGTTCAATTACCAGTGAACATGGTAAGTAATAAGTAATGGTAATGTGAACATTTCTTTTTCACTCTGACTTGAGTGAAAAAGAATCATTTTTTCAGAGGGTGCATGTCTTTGCAAATAAAAACAAGTACTGACTGTATTGTTTTTGTTGCACAGATTAAAGTTATTGTTAGTGTCATGGTCTGGGTGAGTGCCTGGAAATTTCCACCAGGCTCCTGAGGCTCCTTGGATCTGCCCATGGGCAGGGCCACCACAGCTTCACTCACCTGGAGCTAACTGAGTCAATCAGGCTTAAGCTCTATGCTGACGTTTCTTTGCCAGTTCATCAACTACTTGATGTTGGTACTACTTGATGTTTCATGTTTACGCTCTCAAAAATGTTATGCTTATGCTGTTTGTCTTGAGCTGCAGGACACTCCACGGTGCAAACACTCACCTCTTTGATTCTGTCAGGGCTCAGAGGCCCGTGGCATGGAATGGACTCAGGTGCAGAACCAAAGACCGGAAGCTTGAAGTGATTTGCAAAAACACAAACTTTTATTTACAAGTGTTCCTAACAGAAATATTCAAGACAAAAGACAAGATTAAGCTTTGTGCAAAAGCGTGGCGTCTGTGAGGTGCGGGGCTAGGGCGAGCATGGAACAGTCAGGTCACTAAACTGCTGAGACTGGATTGGGTCTGGTGGAAACTGTGGCAGACCAGGGTACTGAAACGTAGGAGAGGAAAATCAGAACAGTCCAAGGAGTTGTGAGTGTTTCCCCATTTGACAAGCTGGAATGGCTTATGTGTTTGCTGGCGGGGATTAGCTGGAGGTGGAGGCGAGGTCCAGGTGGATACTGAGTCTCCCATATAGGTGTGCAGGGAGGCAGGCAGGTGAGAATGGCAGTTTGTCTGAAAAGGATTAAGCAGCAGCTGACCGGAATCCAGAAGCAAGGCTATGGCAGGGTTTGGAATGACGAGTCCAGGTACCGATGAGGTTAGCAGACGATCTGGCGAAGACTCATTGTGTGCGCTGCTCCTAAATACTGCCAGAATAATTGCCTGCAGCTGAGGAACGGGGAGGGACAGGAAGGGCTCCACCCAGAGGAGAGCTGATGCTGTGCAAAGTTACTCAGGCTCGCCCAGACCATGACAGATTCTGGCTTCACACTGGCTCTCTGGAAATCTCTGTGCCTCAACTGCCTGCCCTCTCGCCACCTCGGAATCAACGGAACCCAGGTCAGCAGTCTCGCCTCCTTGAATTCTCCTGGACTCACAATCCTCTCCCTCAACACCTCTATCACTTCTCCTGCAAGTAAGCTGGGAAAATCTGTCATACTCACCTTCTCCGAAAACCACCTGGACTCTCGTTCTAACTCTGTTCACCTCTCTCCTCAGTGTGACCAGTACATACCTGCCACACTCAAGTTGACCTTGCCGTCCTATTTCCCTGGTTGCTCACCGCCACCTTACCACACCACGTTAGCCAAGCCACTGTGTATTTGCCACTGCTAAGTGTACCCTTGTATTACCTTGTTGAAACGTTATTTTTGCCTCCACTCTGGGTTACTGCGCTTTAGTTCAGTTCAAGTTACCATATGACTGGTACTATCAAAAAGTTAACTTCTTCAATTGTCCGTTAAGCGGGATCACCTCATTTGGTTTTAAAATTAGCATTTGATGCTACATTGCTATGGTTGCAAGACACATGCTCACAAATTCGTTGTGTTACGCGGGTATTTGACTCTGGCGGTGCAGATTTTAAAGACTGAATACCTGTAAGAAGTTATCTATAGAATTTACCCAATAAATCTGAGGTAACAATTTGCATTGACTTTTTTGGGGTAGATTTAAGTCAATATATTGTGTATAAAATACTTAATTAAATTGGGTAAAATTTACCCCATATTTACGTATATATTCAACAGCTACTTACTCATTGAAATTAGGTAAAATTAATTATATAATAACTAATAAAATGTAATTATTATCAGTTGATAAACATTACCTATTCATATAAGATAAAATGTACCCCCCAAAAAAGACATTCAGATGGTTCATCATCTCAATGTTTTTATTACATAAAAACACAGAATAAAGTGCAACACAACAGCTAATGCACACAACACTTTCAAAGGCCACTTAGTCCATTTTAAAAGCCAAAAGCACAGAAACTCTACAGGTTGTTTCTGTGCATGTACGTTATCAAAAATATGGATAGATAGAACAAAACACTAACACCAACATTCAATCTGTGTTTGCTGTCAGCAGAAAAAATACAGCTCCATCAAGCTATGTCTGGACAAAAGATTCTCTTGGAACAAGAGGGGAAACGTGTGTGCATTGCACAAGCTTATTTTTGAGGCCGTGGACCTTTTTCAGTAGTTTGGCCCCGTCAAGTTCCAAAAAATGTTTTTGATAAGTATCAAATGTGTTCTTCAGCTCCTTCGGATATTCGAGGTTGAGGGCATATATCAGTCCCATCAGCAGTACACATGCCTTTGTTCGGCTTCCACATCCCTCCATCACTTGGTTTCCCTCAATCACAGTGGACACATCTGATGGATCCTCCTCAGCCATGATGTTGTGGATCACGATCACCTTCATCATATTGTCTGTATAATCCTCACATCCCTACGTGTTAAAAAGAAAGAAACAAAAAGCATACACATGTTTTATTTTATTTAAGATGCTTTTTCAATATATTTCAGTTTATCTAAAGAGGGGAGTGGACAGAAGATGAATGGAGAAGGGGAGAAGAACATTAGGATCCCTTGAGTTAATAAGTAAACTGTTATCAATATGACAAACCTGGCAATCATGAAAAAGCTGCTTGCTATGAGGCTCGGGACCAGCACTCCTGTTGTTGGACAGAAAGACATCAACTCAGTGGTAAGTATTTTGGTTTTCCAATATATTAGCAATTTTCAGTGACATTTATATTAATCAGGCTGAACTTTAATCATACTGTAGATCAGCCTGTTTTACTTATTGTTTTATTTGTGCTTTGGCTTGGGGAAGTTGTTTCTGTACTGATCTTTTGCGGTCTTCTGTTATTAGACTTGAGATATGACTGCATTATGCTGTTGCTGGTGACTCCAGTTAATTCTACAAGACATGCTGTGTAAGTAAACAAACAACAACAGTTTGGTCTGCATTTCTTGAAAGATCACATCCCCAAACTTAGTTTAGAGGGTCTACACTGTATATAGTGAAGTCTGCAAGTTTTCTAACAGCAAAATTTGTTTTGTGCCCAAATCATTTTGCACATCATTAGAATGAAAGTTATTGGCCATGTTTGCATAGCCCTTTTTAAAATGATGCTTTCATGACATTATTGTATGTTGGGTGGTGGTCACGGCTATCTAGACTGACAAGTAAGACATTGAATGTCACCTCTCCGGTGGGGAGGGGGCCTGAGATTGTCTAAATTGGAGTCTGTTCTATACCAAATGCAGAAAAATTGTTTTAAGAAAGCAATTAAGTTCATGTTCCAAAAAATATAATTGTTTGCTTGCAGGACACCAGGAGAGATGAGTCCTCCGTCACAGATGGTGTGGTCAGTGAAGATGGTCGCCTGCAGGTTCAAGCTCATTGCATCTCCACCCCACATCCACTGCCACTGTACTTAAGGGAAGTTAAAGACTTTCTTCTGCACCTACATTTGGATCACCTCGATCCAAGACAGTCATTCAGGCAGTAATGCCTGGACTGGAAACAAGCATCCTTAAAGTATTACAACATTCCAGCTCCTGTGTTGGAATGAAAAACAAATGTGTTGTTTAAATCAGAGACGGCACTTGTGACAGAACAACAAATATTTTATTTCGGCTATATAAGTAATGTAAGTACAAAACAAACTTGTGGTAGGCCTAAACTTATTTTCAGAATAATTACATCTGAGACTTTGTTTCATTGTAAGATTATAACAGTGATGGCAATATAATTGTTTGTTGTTCAGCCAAACAGTGTCCAGTATGTTGGCTGTTATACTTTGTTGTGTTTGAAAATAAAAGTTGGGCTGATTTTAACGTCATTACAAAAAGTGTTGTTAATTATTTTTAATCAAACTCAGGTTACCACAAATAGTTTTTTTTTCATTTAGTTGAACTTGAAATGTTCAACAGAAATATCAAGTTATTCTTAATGCTGCAGACTTGCAATGAATAAGTTGTCTTAACAGTCATCTTAAGTAAGCTTTACTTAGTTTTTTTTGAGGCAACGAGTTTACATAGTTCTGTGAACTAATTAGATTTTACAGTGGGTCAGCTTGAAGACCTGTGATACAAAACCAATTAATAGATCAGTCAGACATTTCTTTCATATGCTACTTCTACTATACTATGATTATTATTACTACTATTATTTTTACTATTAAATACTACTGTTTCCAAGAGGAGAAAAGATTATAATGTAATTAGAATAACATTTTTAGCATTAAAATTCAAAGAAACATTAAAGAAAACATGAAAGAGTTGATGTATTACAGAGCAGGGATTTCAGCAGAAGTTACAGTAGCTTTCACAACAAACTTTTGAAACTGCAACAACACTGTCTGTCTCTTCAGATTCATCATGAACCAATTTTTAATGATGAGAATGATTTCAGCCAGTCTCATGATCACGCTGATGTTTGCACAGAGCAGATAATGAAGTGAATGTTTTTGCACATTGGTAACAGTGAAACAGTTTTTTCACAGCGTGGGATCGTTTGTGTTCAGAGTATGAACTGAGATTCTTGAAGCTCTTGTCACACTGGTCACAGATGAAGTTCCCTTCAATGTGTGTATCTTCATGATCATTACAACGACTTGAATGTGAGAAGCATTTGTCACAGTGTCTGCACTTATATGGTTTCTCTCCTGTGTGGACTCTTTTATGTACATTAAGCTGACTTACAGTGGTGAAGCATGACCCACACTGGTCACAGACATGCTTTTTAATCCTTTGATGACAGAGTTTGTGCGTTTTTAATATACTTGGTGTGGGGAAGCCTCTTCCGCATTCTTTGCAGTAGTTCATTTTCTCTCCAGTGTGTCTACGTTGGTGTCGATTTAGGTTCTCTTGATTACTGAAAGTTTTTCCACAAAGGTCACAACGAAACGCTTTCCCACCACCACAGCGACGACAGGGTTGAGAACTGGATCCATCTGTGTCGCTCTGTTTCTAAACAAAGACACAAAGACAGTGTAAGTCAGGGAATTCTTTCAACATTTTTATCCTGAACGTCGCCTGAAATAAAGAGCAGCTCTGCCAGTATTTACATTTTACATTAACATTATAACACTCAGCTTACTGGGCAAAAATGACTCTTCATTTGTAGGTAATTAACTTAATGGGAAGATTGGTGGTTAAACCTCTGGATGCTCTACTCTGCATGCCACAAGATACTAACCCCAAGCTGCTCTCCGACGCATCTATTGGAGTGTAAATGTTAGATAGAAAGGGGGGAAGCTTTCAAAACTTTACTTTTTTGCAACATTGGGAAAATTTCAGGAGATTTGTGTCAGATTTATTTACATTAGGTTTTCATGTCTCATGTAGCTTTGAAATAGAGTAGGGCGATATAACCAAAAATATTTATCACAACATACATTTGAAAATTTGCGATAATGATATAACTGACGATATGTGGCTGGGAGGTGCAAATCACATTTACAACACCAACAACAAAATAACATTTCCGAAAATACTTTTACATTTAAAAAAAAAA